CGACAATCCGTCTACAAACTGCCGCCAGTAACCCCGTTTTTTGGCCTTGATGAGGCTCTTGAGTTCGCGTTCAAGAGATGTGTATGCGTCGAAATGCTCGCGTGTTCCGCGTTTCCGAAAAAGTTTAAACGCGTTGGACTTTTTACGGTAAACCTCCGTGCATTGTTGATCCCACCAGAGCGATGGTGTTTTCTTACGAATTGACGATCGCGGCACCGGTCGTGTTTGAGCTTGAAGTGCGCTGTCGACGATGAGATTAGAGAGGAAATTATATTCCTCCAACGGCGGAAGCTCTTCCACTGACAATACTGTATCGTCCATCACGGATTGGAACTTAGTCCAATCGATGTTACGGGTTAGATCACGACGTTAACGGATTCTGACGAGTTGAACCCACTGGCAATCGAAATTTTGATCGGCAGATGATCACTACCCGAGCAAAGTCGGTTAACAAAATGAAAGCAAATCGATATTAAAGTGTGCAGTTCCTATCATAATGAAAACTCATTTTGATTTCAAATGTTGCGACATAAGTCTGATATCATATTGTGCTTTCATTATGCAGTCAAGACATTTTAAATGAAAGCAACTTAACTTGAAGTTCTGCTGTTTACGTCTTGTTTAAAATTTAATTGAAATTCATCTGTCGTTGAACTAATGATTATCGTTTATCTGATTTGTTTAACACATTTTAGGTCATTCGTGACTTGCCCGCGGTGAGATTGGAGCCTAAGTCTTTCAGCTTGAGAAACATGAATGGTAACCATTTACTCTAGGCCCGTATTCAGTTAAACATTATGAATGCAAAATCAGTAATCAAATTGATTTCATTGAAAGCAGGATTAGTTTTCCGTTTGCTTCAACAGTGTAAAATTTTGCTCTCATTTTTGCTGTGTTAACCGTTAAGTCAACCAAAATGAGATCAACTGGAGTATTCAAAATAAGTTACATCATAACAGCAAATTTTGATTTCAATTTGATGTTCAGCTTTGCTCGGGTACCGTGTGGATCCTGGATTACATGCCAAGTGCAATCCAACGATAGTGAATTGGAGCAAAAAGGTGAGGTCTAATCTGCTACCATTCGAGGATGGACCAGCCAAACGTGTTACTTCTCCATTGTTAAGTATTGTCATGTTGAAGTTGTCGCAGAGATCATAAATCAAAGTAGAACGGTTATCATCGTACAGCTCCCCCCAGCCTGTACCGTGGGAGTAAAAATCTCCCATGATCAACCATGGAGCGGGAAGTACCGCACATATGTCGAAAAGTTGTTTGCGATTAACAGAGACTCTAGGAGCAATATATACAGAAGCAATACAAAGGCTCTTACCTTTAATGGTAGCCTGACATGCGACAACTTCAATACCGGGGAATTCGGGAAGATTCACTCTATAGAAGGAATGGCACTTTTTGATCCCCAAAAGTACCCCTCCTCCACGTAAATCCTCACGATCCAATCGAATAATGTTAAAATCGTAAAAAGGGAGATCAATTTCTGAAGAGAGCCATGTTTCACAGAGGGCAAATGCATCGCAATTATTGTTATGGACTAAATATTTGAACGAATCTAATTTCGGAATAAGACTTCGACAATTCCACTGTAGAATAGTGATCAAATCCCCGACCTCGTTTTGAAAATTATCCATCGAAGGAGATGATAGCTGCAAGAAGGGGCCATTTTGAAGTCAATTGCTTCAAGAAGGATTTCACAGTGGGAAGCAATGTGAGGACAATGCTTTTCAGAGGATCAGTAATGTTGAGGTATTTGAGAATACCGTCCACAATGTCATCAAATGAGAACAGCCCAGATAAAGAAGGGGTTTCTGTTCTTAAAATTGGGGCATCAGGGGTTTTGGATGCCCCCGGAAGAAATGGAAAATCCTGGGTATAGTCAGTTGTGCGGAATCCAGGAGGAGTAGAAGTCTCCTTTTTCCACCACTTCTTGATTTAGGCAAGCTGATTTGGGGTTCTTTATTTGCAACAATCCGCGAACGGATGCGCTTTCGTTTCCGTGCAGAACCTTCCGGAAAACTGAAAGAAGTTCCCTCCTCAGCCAAGTCAGAGTCAATCTCGTCATCTGACAAAAGAGAAAAGGGATTTTTGTCAGTGGTCGATGGCGTGGCTGTCTTAAGCATTTCTGCAAAAGACCGCCTGGAACGTTCCTTAAGGGAGCGTTTCATTTTGTCCCCGAGCTGTTTGTACGCCGGGCATGACGAGAGAGCATGAGGAGGAGTTCCGTTGCAGTACACGCATTTTGGTGCATTAGCTGCACAGGCGCCATCCTCATGCTTCTCCCCGCATGTGGAGCAGCGTGCCTTGTTGCCGCAGTGGGAGGCCGTATGTCCAAAACGCTTGCAATTCTGGCAGTTCATGACCCGAGGTACAAACAACCGCACAGAAAGACGAAGTTTTCCCAGCTCGATGTATTGAGGAAGGGCAGATCCAGAAAAGGTCACCCGAAACGAGTCTGTGGGGGTAAAACTCTTTTAACCCTCACTGAGCGATACTGACTTCATTCTATGAACGGCCAGTATCTTTACCGGAGGAAGCAAGGGGTTCTTGAATCGGCCAACCGCTTGCTTCTCCAGTATCTCGGGGTTCAGACTCGCCTCAGTGACCACGCCTTCGATCTCCACATCAGAGGCTGGAATGTACACCCTATATTTCAGTGTGAAAAACTGGGAAACAGCAATTTCATTGGCCTGTTTCAGGTTAGTGACGGTCACACGAAGTTTGTTGTGCCTAACCTTCGTTATTTCGGTCACGGCAGAGAATCGCTTTGTCAGATCATCAGATATCCGAACAACATTCAAGGGTTTGTTTTTGGGCTGAAAATAGACAACCCATGGGCCAGTCGAGTCATTCGGGTAGGCCCGCAATCTGGAGCTTTTCTCAGCCTGCCCATTGACAGACTGAGACGACGAACCAGGGATGACATCACCATTTTTCTGAGATGAATGGTCATCCATGTCGTCTTCTGACAAAACATCCATTTTGTTCAACTAGTGGGAGCGCAAAACGCTCTCCCACTGAACGCACAGACACAATACACAGAAAACACTACAAACACAGAAATACAAAATGAAAATTTAACTAATGGGGGAGTAAAGTGGACCCTACACGATTGCTTTTATTGACAATAATCGTATTGTCAATACATTCTATATTGACGTCAATATATCGAGATTGACAATATTTCTGAATTCACATCATCAATATTATTGTCAATAATTCCCCTTCGCGTCAATATATTGATGCGTGTGGGGTTTGCTTAAAAGAAACAAGAAAAAAACAAAAACTTATCTGATAATCCTATACTACTACCACCGAGCGTTATATGTGTAGGCGTTTACACAGATGGCTGGAAGAGACGCGCTGCGTGGATGACCTTCGTTGTGGTGCACTTGATCGAGGCGCGGCACTCAGCGCACACAGGCGCACGATGATTGATGAACGATGTAGATGTAGAAACGGGTGCTCACACTCGATGATGATGATACGTGAGCGGGTATGCGTAAGCGCGTATGCGTGACCACGCAACGATGATGCCCAAATTTGTTTGCGAATTTCCAATAGCACGGATTAATCTTTCCGAAAATGACACTTTCTACTAAAAAAAACTCACTTTTTGATCAATTTACCGGGAACTATGCCAGGAGTCACTTAGCGAGAAAAAAACTGATAATTTATATCAAGCGAATACCGAAAAAAACTTCCAAAACAACGGAGCGCGAAACAAGTCGACCGTACTTCTTGCTAGGACCCAGTGGGGAATCTGTGTTGTACCGGCTAAACAAAAAATGGTCTGCCAGAGATACAGTAATGCATATTTTAACCAAGGGTAGGGTAGGATAATCCCAATCAGCTCAATAACTCACCAGGATATTTAACAGCATTAGAAGTGATGTGTGATCGGAACTGCAAACATCTGTATATCCATTTATTTGCTATCTTTTTATCTTAAAGAACACGCCAGAAGTTCCCAGTTGAAGGATGCTATCTCAATCTACCCAATTCCCAAACTTGATAATACTCTGGCAAATCCAGATTATCGTTCAAAATTGGCACAGCTTTTGGGTAACTCAATCCAGATCAAATGAGCAGTGACAAGCAGGGGGTTGCAAGGATGACCCACTACCCTACTGAGTAGTTTCACTCACAGCTTGTTATTGAAAAACACGAACCGCACAATAAAGGCTGTTCGCACCATTTTCAAATTAGGTGTTCAAATATTTTCTTCTTTCTACGATTACCTCTCAAATGATTGACATAGCAAAAGCCCAAAAAAAAAGATGTATAAAACGTAGCGAATAAATTAGGTTTTCGGAACATTTGACTCGAGAGAACCTCATTTTGTTTCAGCAGCGCAAAAAGAAAAACAATCACCCCTGGTCCCATCAACCGTCTCGAATAAAGATGCAGATTAAGTGTGTCCCCGGAATTAAACCACCCAGCCAAGGGTTGCCGTAATTATCTCGTTTTTGCGAGCCTAGAAATGTGTGTTCCCATTTCCCACTCCGTTTACCCCCTTGGCAGCATGTCCCATCCCCATTTTACTAGTAATTACAAAACGACTCGCTCAAATTCGTCGCTCTGCCCTTGGTTGGTGGGGAATCATTTTGTTGAACAATCCCCACGAAAAAAAAAATTAATTCTCTTGAGTTTGCACACGGCCGTTGAAAGAAACTCCGAATTGAGTAGAGTTTGACTCATTTGGGTAAACAACCACTGCACTGAAGTAATGCTCATACTGAATTCTTGAGTTCCGTTTGCACTGCGCCAAAAGGAGTGAAATTCTACTCAATTTTCAGTTAGTCTCATTGGCCGTGGAAACAACTGTAGGCAATTGGAGGACACAGCTTTTGTGAAAGGATTCCCCCCCCCCCCCAGATTTCCCACCTCTGTCTGCCGAAAAAAAAAAGAGGTTTACTTTGGTCTTTTGTACTAATTCGTTTGTCGTTTTTCGTTCCATTCTTCTCTTTTTGCCTTCCACAACAGGGTCGAGAGCTGTTGAACAATCCATCGGAGGGTATAATCGTGTCGAACCAGAGCCTGGTGCTGCAGAATGTGAGCCGCTCCCGGGCTGGGCTGTACACTTGCGTCGGAAGCAACCGGGAAGGCGACGGCGAGAGCAACCCCGTTCATCTGGATATCAAATGTAAGTCGGGTGGCGGATTGGGGCTTTTCTTTGGTTCAATGTTCGATTGCTGGATTGGGAATCCGTGTGAGTTCCATGATGTATGTTTGGATTGTTCTTTAAAGTCTTTTTTTTTAATCCAATCATTCAGTCTGCTTTGTGCACAACTAGAGTAAATTATCCTTTTATGGACCCTTTGGCCTAAGTGGACCACTTATTATTTGAACGGTTTACCGGTATATTCCAACGGAAGACTTTTTTTTTTTACAACAACATTGGTCAAAAACTATTTAAAAACCTACAAGGGACAGCCCTAAGGGGTTGTACGCAATGGTGACTTAGGACTACGTGGTCTTACATTTTAATTCTTTGGTATGACTATGATTGCTCTGAAAGGATCCTTATGATATAAATTTTAGTTGGAACATGTTTAGAAATTTTGGAAGATGATGATGAAATGTAGGCAGCTGGATCAGCAAATCGGACCGGACAATCCCATATTCTTCGATTCAATGATTGGGCAAGAGTTTTGACCCGGCTGCTGCTGAACCCCTTTACGCGCTCGAATAATTGAAAATTTGATAAATATTTAATCGAATAGCTGGAAAAATCTTGACGATTAATCGTTAAATCGAATAATTGGACTTTTCGGCATCCCTAGAAAATATTTTAATTTCATGTTTGTTGGCGATCGTTCGAAAATGTTGAACATCAGAATTGCAACCAGCAAGTGTAACCCAAGAATCAAAAGCGATACGATGCCAACTTTCATAGCCAGATGCCGTAGTAGTCGAGTAGTATTTTAACGGCAGAGAAACAGCGCTCTACCGAAACTTGCGTTGCTGGAGCAGAAAATGCAGTCATAGCCAAATCATATAGCTCGGGGTCTTCGTATCGTTTAGCCTGCCAGTATTGAATGGTGTCCGTGTTTATCGGCAATCGCGTTTTCGAATTCGCCAGTTGTAGAAGTTTTAATTTGAGATTCAATTGTGATGTTTCAAACGTAGTTCTAGCATTCTTCTGTCAACATAGCATCAAATTCGTCTTCATCGTAAGAAGTCACAGAGGTTTCTCCTGTTTCTGTTTCAGGGTAACCTTTAGCTTTCAACTAATGAAGAATTGAATCCACTTTGAGCAAATGATCCTAAATACGAATAAATTAAAAAGAAATGCATTGTAGAAACTGCCACAGACAAATAAACGTCACTCTCCATTCTTCACTATCGATCACGTATATGACGAGTTCAAATATTATTTGGTAAGTTCAAATCAGATATATTCCAGGAAGAATTCACGGAGCACTAACATATTGTGTTAGTGTTTGCAGTCCAATAAGCGCACATCTATGCTCGTACGGAGGTAAGCTATCTAGATCTGTCCATGGCAGACGTCGTAATGCAAACTTTATAAACTGTTTCTGGATTCTCTCGATGCGCAGTACATGAACAGCATGATATGGAGCCCAAATGTGTACTCCATATTCAAGAACACTGCGGACCATAGAGCAGTACAGCGCTTTCATTGCGTACACGTCGTCGAATTGTGCAGTATTGCGGCGCAAAAATTCTAGCATGGAGTTGGCCTTTGCAACTGTCATGGATATGTGCTCGTTATACCGTAGTTTGCTGTCCAAGATGAGCCCAAGATCCTTAATGGCATTAACCCTTTCCAGCGGCGATTGATTCATAGAGTAATCAAAAATGATCGGAGAGTGAGAGCGAGTAAGGGTAATCACTTTGCATTTGGCAGCATTGGCTTGCATTCCATTCATCTGACACCAGGATGACAATCGCTCTATATCAGCTTGTAGTGCGCAACAATCCACGATCGGTACAGCTTAAGATCATCCGAATATAGCAACTTACAGGAACTTAGCATATCACACACGTCGTTAATAAACAGAACGAAAATGAGAGATCCTAGGTGACTCCCTTGTGGAACCCCCGATGGTATATGGAATACCTCGGATCTGGAATCACGTACCTTAACGAAAGCCTTCCTGGATGATAAGTATGATGTCAACCAACAAACGATCCACGGTGGAAGACCAAGGCGGTTTAGCTTCATAATGGCTAGGTCGTGAGGAACTTTGTCAAAAGCCTTAGAGAAGTCGATGTAAACGGAGTCCACTTGCTGACGCTTCGCGATGCTACCTATAAGAGTGTTCGTGTAAGTCATCAAGTTAGAGACCGTCGAGCGCTTTTTCATGAATCCATGCTGAAACTCTGAGATTATGGGCTGAACAGCTGGATACAACTTCTCATGCAGAAGACTTTCGAGAACTTTGGCCAAACAGTTCAGGATCGAGATAGGTCGGTAATTTTTCACTTTGTGCATGTTACCGGACTTGAAGATTGGTGTAATTGAGGCGAGCTTCCAGGCATCCGTAAAAACGCCATCCTTAAGCGATCGATTGAAAATAGACATAACGGGAGTCGCCAACGATGCTGCACAGCTCTTGACGAAAGACGGTGCAATACTGTCCGGGGCTGGACCTTTCGATGGATCGACTGAGCAAAGGTCTTTGAGAATAGCGTCTTGACTGAAGATGAGCTGCTGCAGGTGAATGTCGTATCTTGGTAGCTGATCAATGTATTGCTGTGGTGGAGGAGTTTGATCGGGTTCGAAAACACTTCGGAAAAAGTCAGCGAAAAGGTCAGCAGAAGCGGTGTCGGGGGTGGAGCTTTTAATACCGTAGGTGACGTCTACGGGAATACCAGCTGATCTTTTCGAAAGTTGATAAAAGACCAGAACGACGATGGATTTTCCTTGAAACCCCTCTGGAGGTTGCCGACGTACTCACGAAAGCGAGCTTCCGGCAAACTATTATACTCTGCTTCTACTAGCTGCACCGTATACTTGTTTGCTGCTGTCCGGGAAAGAAAGTAACGTTTTCGAGCTTTATGCAGATGGTTACGCAGGTTACGTAATTGCAGATTCCACCAAGGTTGTTGGAATTGCAAACAAGATTTTCGTGTCTTCACCGGAACAGTATCTTGGATTACTTTATAGATGTTGTCGTAGAATACGGAGACGGCGGCATCAATGGTGGGTTGGTCAAGTATTTTTACCCAATCCAAGGCGGCAATCCTCGTGTTAACAACATCGAAATCACATTGTGCAAAATTATACTCACTGCGGGCTGCTGGGTACGGGAGCGGATGATCTCTCGAACGGAAGTCAACTTTTAGAACACGCAAACCAAAAATCTATTACAATGAATGTTAGTTCCGTTTCCTATCATCCTCTGTTCATGAACATCGCAGCGAATGTTAGAAGTTGACTTTACAGGCGATGTAATGGTTTTTTGTCTTTTTCATTTCGTGTTCTATCTACGCTTTCGACTATACCAGTAAGCTTGTAGAACGACGCACATTGTAGAACATTGTAGAACGACGCAAACACTTGCCTCGAATCTCTCCAGCAGAAAAAGCATACGAAATCGAGTATGCGAGAAAATGAGCGCTTGATGTTTGCTTTTAGGCTATCCATATTCAGAAGCATGGAGAGAGCAGTGGAGAAAGCACAGGTCTGATAATCGAAGCGTTCTTGGTTCGAGTCCAGTCGGCAATCGGATTCCTATTTTTTTCGACATAACTAATTTACCTCACTAATACACTCTACATTTTTCGTAACCAGTCCGGTGAGCCGGTACAGCGACAAGTTGTGAGCTCCTCAACTTTCGGGGTGGAACGTATAGAGGGACATCCTGTAGTAGTTGAGGACAATCAATTTTGCCACGCAGTAAGTCCAAAATAACTAGTTGCTGAATGTTTGTGCGCCTAGCACGTGAGGTTTCCAAATCAATCAGCATACAGCGTGCAGTGTAGTCAGGCAGAGTTAGCGGGTCGTTCCATGGGAGGTTGCGCAGCACGAATCGAATGAAAACCTTCTGAATTCTTTCGACTCTGATGATCAGCGATGCGTGATAAGGCGTCCAGACAGAGGCCGCTTATTCCAGGATGCTACGTACCAAAGTACAGAACAATGTTTTTTGTGCAAAAATGTCTGTAAACTGCCACGTATAGCGTCGAATGCATCCAAGAACCGTAGAAGCTTTAGCCGTGACAAGTGAAACATGTTCGTTGAATCTTAACTTCGAGTCAATAGTAACACCAAGATCACAAATTGAGGTAACACGCTCTAATGACACGGATCCAATTGTGTATTGGTGGTTGACGGTGGTGCTCCGACGGGAAAACGATATCACCTTGCATTTTCCTATGTTGACACTCATACCATTTTCTTGACACCATAGGAGTAGCCCATTTATGTCATTTTGCAGGGCAAGGCAGTCGAGTACGGTCGCGATGACTCTGAACATCTTCAGGTCGTCGGCGAACATTTGCTTAAATGAAGAAATCTGAAGGCACAGATCGTTGACGAAAAGGACAAACAGCAGTAATTGCAAAGGCCTTCGGCCGAAGTAATTGCAAAGGCCTTCGAGCGTGCAGAATTGATCGAAACGAAGGAATGGCGGTCGGTCAAGTAAGAGAGAATCCACTCAACTAACCAAGTAGGGAATCCAATAGCTCTTGATTTTTCGGTAGCGTACACGTGTGGCACTGTGTCAAATGCTTTTGAAAAGTCGATGTAAATGGAGTCCACCTGACGCCGGGCTTCAACCTCTCGAAACAGAGTATTAGCATAGAGGTAACTCTAAGACAAGTAGGTCCCGAAGAAACGTGCTCAACTTTTTGGCTCACCTCTGGTACTATCTTCGGTCCCAAGCTTGTCGAATCACCCCTCGAAACATAAGAAAAACCAGTAACCCCTCATTTTATCTGTCAAACTTTCATAGCGAATCAAAACAAACATTGCGTAGTACTAGAATTTCGACGAGAATAGGGTACGTTAATCGTTTGCTTGGGACCAATAGGCTACTAAAGTGGTGAGCCAATTTAAAATCGTTAGTTTCGTATTGATTGTTGGTATTAGTGTAGCACAGCAAATTTGTAGTAGTAGAGCGGTGCTGGACAAACCCATGCTGGAACATCGATATTATAGGATGAACCACATTG